TGGAATTAACACAAGGGGCTAAATCTAATACTTATGATAGTATAGGTAATGCTGATGTCAGTTTCAAAAGAAACACAATAGACTTTTTGTATTTTAGAAATGGTAATGTAGAAGTAAATACTGGTATATCATTATACGCTGAAAGTGCTAAATTTGATGAAATTGATAGTGCTACTGCTACTAATGTAGTATTCAAAAGAGGTGGTGTTGATTTCTTCACATTGGACGGCACAAAAAACATCATTGATGTTTCAACTGGTAGGGCGTTGTCATCTCAATACATTTATGGAGATTATTTTTTCAATAGGAATTATGGTGCTGATATGGTTTTTGAAGGCAGTAATACAACAGATGACGGTTTAGTAGAATATATGAGATACAGAAAAGCAGATGAAGATGTTAATTTTTCAAAAGATGTATATATCAATCAAGATAAAAGGGCATACTTTCATAGAGAAACCGGTAAAAGTAGTTATGTATATTCTGGAAATACAGCAGGTGTCAATCATTTAAAAATACTCAATGAAGACCCCAATGGAGATATAAGTTTTTATGCTAATAGCGGTATTAGACTTTTCATCACCCCATCAAAAGTTTCAGTTCCAGCACCTTATACATTAGAAGGGGATTTAGTTGATACATCGCAAAAAGATATGAAATATGACATTGAAGAAGCAAACTTCAATTTTACAAAAATAGTAAATAGCATTAAACCTCATACTTTCAAAATAAAAGAAGAAAAAGAAATGGGGATGACTAAGACTAAAACTCATATAGGTTTTATAGCAGAGGAGGTAGAAGAAAATATACCAGGAAAAGTTGAAAATATATTTGTGAAAGTTGATGGTATTAAGAAATTAAGTTATATAAAAATGTCAGTTATTGGTTGGGGGGCAGTTAGAGAATTGATTGATGAAAATGAAACAATGAAAAACAAGATACAACATTTAGAGAGTTCAGTTTATGAATTACAAGAGGCAGTAAAAGAATTACTTAAACCTAAACCAAAGCCAAAGCCTAAAAAGAAATCTAAAGATAAGAATAGTGATACTGAAGATTAAAATATCTAATAATATAATGGGTTCTAAACAATCTACAGTTGAAAACGGTTGTATTCAAGAATTGAATAGAATTAATGAAGAAGAGTTAGACATTAGCAGAATAGATAAACTACAAATAAAAGCCTTAAAAGAAATCAATAGCAAGATTGAAAAATTGAATAAGGAGAAAAGCGATAGTATCTTATACAAACTGACGGTTCCAATTTGTAATTATAGTCTCTTTCAATTTAGTAATATTATTTCAATATAATATTATTAAATCTATTCTACTTTCATAACTTGCTCAAATCTAATATAGAACATCTGGTTTGTCCTTGCTGTTAATGTTTACGTATAAAAAAACTATATGGCTCTTTGACAGCAAGTTTATACATCTCTAACAAAGTCTTTTTATCCACCAAGGCGCTACTCTCTTCAATAAAGGCATCCAGTTCAGTTTGATTTTTTAATTTGAAAATATATAATGAAGAAGCATTTAATCTAATAATGTTTGCCAATGACCTATACTTTTGTGTGGAAAGTATAAAGGATATTGCTTGATGTCTCCCCCTTGTTGCCAACCCGTGGAGTAAATGTGAGTGTCTTACCAGATTAAGATTGTCGGCGTGGTCATCAACAACAACCAGAATGCTGTGAAGTTTCTTTAGTTTGCTGTTTTTCATATAAGTAATTACTTTAGTTTGTGTATCTATCACCTGCTGTAGTTCTTCAGGGTTATAGTGTTCAAAATAGATGTCTTCTTTCTTGTCATCTACTTTCATCTCTTTTCTGATGTATTTTTTTACTTCAACAAATGTAGGGTCAGTATGAACACTTGGACTAAATATAAATATACGACTAAAACAATCTCTATAAACATCTAAAATCAAATTTTGGATGAGCACTGTTTTGCCCCCAGTTGAAGAAGCAACTATAATGCTTCCAAATGGTATTTTGGGAACGTGTGGATATTTACTTTGTTTGTATTCATACTCTATTATGTTCCTTGGTTGTATTATTGGAACGGTATTATTCATAATATAAATTATTTAGAAATTAAAATATATTATATCTTGTAATGGCATATCTTATTTTACCTTTGAATATTGGGGTCAGTTGAAATCTGGAACAGTTGCCGATATTACCCATCATAAGAATGTTAATTCACCCCAGACACGGTCTCTTTTGTCATAACAACAAGCAGTAGCAAATGACAATAAATGATATGGATTAAAACTACTTAAAGAGTAGTTTTAACACACTTTGAACTGATAAATAAATAAATATCTAAATAATTAATATATAGTAATGAGTGATTTGGATGATAAACAGCCTGAAATGGCTGAAGCCTTGAATAAAATGACAAGATACAACAAAAATGTCAAAACTTTGATTGACCTAATGAACAAAGCCATTGAAAAACTTGATGTATTAGTGAAAAATAAATCAAGTGAAAATAATGATGCTGATGCTGAGAAAGAGAGGATTGATAAAATCTTTGAGAAAAAGGCTGTAGGAAGACCCCGTGGGTCGTATTCTGAAAAGCAAAAACTGTATTTGAAAATGCTTAATGAAGATGCCTAAAAGTCAAACTCTTGAATTTTACAAGATAATCAAAGATGGTGAGGTGTATAAACTGATGGATGGATAAAAATTGCGTATGTTTCAACAATAATTTCACATATAGATTATATGAAATTACTTGAACTTTTTTCAGGGACTTGTAGTGTGGGAACTGTTGCAAAAGATAGAGGTTGGACTGTTGTGTCATTGGATTTGAAAGGGGCTGATATAAACTGTGATATACTACAATGGAAATACAAAAAATATCCGGTGAAATACTTTGATTTTATACACGCTTCGCCTCCGTGTGTTGAATACAGTAGGGCAAAAACTACTGGTGTCAGAAATATTGATGAAGCAAACAAAATTGTTTTGAAAACACTTGAGATAATCAATTATTTTAAGCCAAAGATTTTTGTAATAGAAAATCCACAAAGCGGATTGTTGAAAGAACAAGAGTTTATGAAAGGACTTCCTTTTTTTGACATTGACTACTGTAAATATGGCTTTAAATACAGGAAACGCACGAGGCTTTGGACAAACTTAGAAGGGTGGGTGCCGAGACCGCTGTGTAAAAAGGATTGTGGCAATGTGGTCAATAACAGGCACGTTGAAACAGCACAACGCTTACCATCCAAGACCAAAGCTGACTGGGGGGATAATCCAGTTTTTCATTCACAGACTGATTTGTATAAAATCCCTCAATTACTGGTAGAAGAAATACTGAATGCTGTAAATATTGTATGTTTTAAGTGAGTTTTATTTAAAGACAAATGAATGTTAAATAGTAGGTCAGTAATATGGTTTCAAAGTGTGAGCATGGTAGAAAAGATAGATGTAAAGACTGTGGTGGTGCAGGAATTTGTAAGCATAACAGATTAAGATTTCAATGTAAGGATTGTGGTGGAAGTCAAATATGTGAGCATAACCACAGAAAAGCTACTTGTTTGAAATGTGCCGGTAGTCAAATTTGTAAGCACAATAAAATCAAAGGAATGTGTATAGAATGTGGTGGGAGCGAACTTTGCCACCATGGACGAAGTAAATATAAATGCAAAGAATGCCGTGGTAATCAAATTTGTCAGCATGGTGTCTTAAAATATAACTGTAAAGAATGCAATGGAAGCCAAAGATGTGAGCATGGACGACTGAAGCAGTCATGCAAAGACTGCGGTGGAAGTAAATATTGCAAACATGAAAGATTAAAGGAAAGATGCAAAGAATGCGGTGGAAGTCAAATATGTGAGCATGGAAAAGTCAGAGCTCAATGTGCAGATTGTGGAGGGAGTAGCATTTGTAAATCAAAAGACACTATAGGATGCAGAACGAGAGGCAATAGAAAACTCAATGGATATTGTAGTCATTGCTATGCGTTGAAGTGGATGAGAACCAGCATAAATACTATATCAATGAAAGTGAGACAAACAGGTATAATGATTTGTTTATGGATTTTTCAGGAAAGTATATCTTTATAAAATATAATCCTGATAAATATATTGATAAATTTGGTAAATCAAAAAAAAACTATGTTTGATACAAGAATGGAAGTATTGGAAGAGTCAATAGATAAGCATATACAAAGAATAGAAAGGGCTGAAAATGAAGGCCTTGTTGAAATCCACCATCTATTTTATGATGAAAACTGATTGAGTTTCTTAATAATATCATTTTCAAATATTATTTAGAAACTTTGATTGCTTGGAAATCTAAAATCAGATTGTGGAGGGAGGTTCCACTGATGGTGGAGGGAGGTTCCACTGATGGTGGAGGGAGGTTCCACTGATGGTGGAACAATACATTTTTAGTGGGAAATTCAGTTCCACTACTGGTGGAGGATGGTTCCACTACTGGTGGAGGATGGTTCCACTATCTGGCTGGATATTCCCATTATCTGGGCTGGTTTTTGTCAAAATCTGGGCTGGATAAATTGAGCCTGAATTCTGGGAGGTTTCAGGTTCAAATCTGGGAATTCCTTTCATTTTTAATAGGAAATTTGAGGTTCAAATCTGGGGTATTTGATTACTTTTTGAGCAATCACCCATTTTTTTTTTGAGCAATTACCCATTACTTTTTGAGCAATCACCCATTACTTTTTAAGCAATCACCCATTGCTGTTTTGTTGTTTTGTTGTTATGATTTATGTTATTGTTTTCTATAAGGTGTTGCTCCCCTGTCTTTGGTATTAACCCCATAGAATTTGCTTGTATAATAATGTGGGCGGTTAGATGAGAAAGACGGGGGAGCCCATTGCTAACTGATATATAGTGTGCATCATCCTGCATCGTCGTCCATCATCCATCGTGCATCATCGTGCATCAGTCTCCCTAAACGAAAACTCCAGGATCTGCAGCTGTTGAATTGGCACAGGTTGACAAGCCACTATGGGTCAACACCCGCCTCATCCCATTCCTCGTCAAATTCACACTCCTCATCCTCGTCCTGTGGTCAGTGATAGCCCCTGGTGAGATGTCCGATCACCAGGAAGCCCTTTCAACAGACTGAGTGCTTGCAGCAAACATTGACATTGCTTCCTCGTCACTCTGCACATCCTCAGTGACTCTCAAGCACTGACCGAAATGTCGACTCTGCTGTTCTCAATGCTGGCTGCAAGGAAAAAGGGCTCGAGGCAGGGGGATACGGCAAATCGGCAAATCACATCGCTCCAAATTGCACTGCATTTCCTATCTATTTCCTATCTATTTCCTGTCAAACCAAATCGGATTTTTTTGTGGTTCCAAATTGGCAACCCATCCACCAATTTATCTCAGCATGAGACCGCATCTGAGAGGTCGGCAACATCACCTAAACAGAGAAGCCAGGTCGTTTTACCCCATGGGGCAAGTCATCATGTTCGTTCAAGAAGTTGATACTTTGCTCCAAAAATAACTGAGCCAAAAAAGGATGGGACACTGGATTGAATTATACAAGTATAAAATGTATAAATAACTAAATATAGTAAGTTACATCATATATATATATATATTTGACGCATACAAAAATCTGCTTGGGAACAGACAAGTCTTCATAGAAACTCCACCGCGTCGTCCTTCACAGGTCCTGTGGCAGGATGAAATAATCAATGCACCAATTGACCAATTTGACCAATGGATAGCCAAATATCCCTTAGTTATCCTTAGTTCCTATATTATATGGAGGTTTCCTGAAATGGGGGTACCCCCAAATCATCCATGTTCAAGAAAATTCTCCATTTTAAACCATCCAGCTATTTTTTGGTACCCCCATTTATGGAAACCCCCATATACTACATATTACTGGTTGATAGTGTCATCATAACTCATTGATCCTAACTGGGGACCTAAAAAACCTGTGCCTCTGTTCGGCCAACTGAGTCTCATAAGCTTCGATCAAATGGCGCAGTGCAAAGTTCTCGGTCAAATACCTTGGAAACAACCAATGTTGAGCAAACAAAGTGGAATATTCGCCAGAGATTGGGGATACAGCAAAACTGGGGGATCTATGGGGATACAGTGGGGATAATGATGTAAGCGACGGGTTTTCACGAATCGAGACAATTTATGTTGCTTCGAAATCCGTCCGCTGTATGTCTTTCAATTTTTGTTGTTTGGTTGTTGTTGTTTTTTTTGGCGTGATGGGAAAATGGGATGCGGGTAGGCATGCCCGCGGCAGAGTGAAAGTCAAGGGGGCCCAGATAAATCCGAGTGCTCGATTTGCACATTCACTCATATCCAACTATTCTCATCTCCACTTCGGATTGTGCAACGCCTGGGGTCAGAGGGTAGAGTGAAATGATGATCGATGAATCATAACTTCAACTTGCTACAACACTTGCTATATGCAGCTGTTTTGAATTGTTTTGAATTAGGAGTATGTTGGTGGTTTAGCAATCAACGTCTTGGTGTGGCTGATGCAATCATGCCTGACGGTTCTTTCTGGGCCCCCAGACCGGTGTGCCAGCACCGCACCAGTCATGGGTGAGGTGTTGTGCATCGAGAGCCACTTCTCAATTGCCTCTGCGGTGGAAACAGGGACATTGTTAACCACTGGTCCTTCAGTAGACTGGGTCTTTACAAGATTGACTTTGGGATAAAGATGGACAAAGTCTGAGCACACTTTTCGTGCTTTGCCATCAAGATCTCCGCTCCCTCCATGGCGCCGGCGGCCACGCCTGACGCTCATAGGTGAAACCATCTGCCGCCAGGACCTGTTGACGGCACATGGCAAGCCATAGGAGAAACGGAGAAAGCAAGAATTCAATCTGCAAGGTTTTCTGAGATATAAAGTTCAAGATGTTCAATTATTGCTTTTCAAGCTGAAACTAGATTCCTAGATGAAATTCTCATCTTTGATAATTTAATCAATTCAGCAGCGGGTGTGGAATTCAGGGACGTCTGTGCGAGTAGAAAGAAACTGCGAAGGTATATACAACAGCGCAAGGGCTCACCCTCATTATAAAGGGCAAAATCCGAAAATATGCCAAATTGACAGATAGATAGAGATTTGCAGACTTTAGGGGCGCGCTTTCAAGAAGGATTTGGTATACCTGGGCTTGTCATCTTTGCAAATCTACATGTTATGGTGCCCATCTTTTTCCGCATGCTGGGAAAATGTGTGGATTTCCGTTGTTTTCCGAGAACTATCACGGACAACTTGACACCAAGAACATTCAAAGCCGCTTGAAGTCCTTGATTCCTGGGCTTGTGGCTTGCATCACCCCTGCGGCTAGATTTCATGCTGTCTTCCTGGGACACCGCTGAATCTTTGAGCATTTCCGGCGACGGCTGTCATGTCTGCTGCCCATTTCCTCTTTGGCGATGTTGCCAAGGGGCGCACCCTGGAAGCTTTGCCGATTCAACATCGTTTCCGTCCACATATCCGAAACAGATGAGATTTGCAAGTGAGTGGTTGTAACTGCTTGGTGTGGTAGCAACAAGTAGCAACCATGTCTGAGTGACTCTCAGCACGGCATCAAATCCATCACCGTCTACCTGATTGCCTCGTGTCACTTGCAGTCCTTGGCGTTGTGCCCCAAAGCCCCAAAGCTCTTTTTCAGGCGGATCTGAGCGGGTTGCGGCTCAGCCAATAGCCCATGACGCCGGTCCCATGCATCCCACCGGCTTATGACGACCCAGTGGCCGTGGCGCAAACAGCGCTGAAGACATGCGGTTCTGCAGTCTTGTTCCGAGACTGTTGAGATACAAAGAAAGAGAGCAATGTCCACATGGCCATGGCAGATGCAGCTATAGCCGTTTTGAAAGGGCAAACAGAGATGTGGACTCCAAATGTGAACTCTGGCAGTTGCAAGGTACAACGGCCAAATGCTGCTAAGCACCTGTAGCGAAAACTGTTGTTGTCAGCCCGGTACACCATGAATGGCCGGGGTCATAATGGACTTCTTGGAGGCACAGATGTTGGCAAACCTGGGTTCCAACACACAAATGCAGGAAACAGGTCCGTCATATTTCGTGTGCTGACTTTGGGGCCTAAGCAAATGGAGCTACTAGTACCGTTTGAGTCATTTGTGTACTTCTGTGTCGGGACTCAACAGAGAGATGCGTGTGACGGTAACTTCCAAGTTTACCTGTCGTTTGAGAGCTTTTCATTTGCAGGCGGACTCATGTCCACAGCGTGAGAGAATCACAAACATCTCCTATGCGCCACAGTGCTCAGATATGGGGTCATCATGATATGCAAAGCAGACTTTCGTCGTAGAAGATACAGGAAGAAAGCCCAATCCCTCCAACTGCCTGCAAGACTTCCAAACCCAAACAAAGTGGCTCCTACATTAAGCGTAGTCCCCTGTTTGAGAGACTACTGGCAGGGCAGCGTCTTTGTGCTGCAGTGAAACCATGCCATGCTTCAAATTCGGTCGGTCCGGCTTCCAAAAAGAATCCTAACTACAGGCTGGAAAACGGAGGCCATCGATTTCTTCTTGCAAGAGTTCTGCTCCAAAAACGCAATGAAACTTTGGACCCAGAATGGATTTTCCCATCTCGATTGGAGCCCAAGTTTGCACATCAATGGCCCAGGTCTCCAGTCCCTAACTACTTTTTCTCAGCGTCGGTGCCACCCGAGCCACCCGAGCCACCCGAGCCACCCGAGCCACCCATGCCCGGGGGCTTGTAGGCGGCCCCTGAGCTCACCATGAAGATGGGCAACTCGCCATCTTTGGGACTGCGATGAATCAACTCCTCCTGGAAGAGTCGGTACATCGTGGAAACCAAGCTGGGTGGATCGTCGTCCCGTCGACTCATCCGAATGAACTCCAACTCTTGGCTTCGGATCACTGCCTGGTGGCAATGAAGGTCTATACATGTCTATACATGTCTATACATGTCTATACTATCTATACATGTGAAAACAGAATCGTGAATCATTTGAAGCCGTCACAAACGTCCACAAACCACTCAAACGACTGCCCCACGGCACATTTTTTCTCACTATTTCTCCCCGGGCCTTCTGTCTAGTGTTCTCAGAGGGTGGCTTCGCAGCATGGTGGAAGAGGTTCGCAGCAATCTGGCGGATGCTGGTTGCCTGCTCTGGTGACCCCATGGCGCCGGAGCAAAGTGGGCATCACAAGGCCATCCCAAGTCAACAAGTGACTCTTCTAAGTCATCTAAGTCTATATAAGCTAATAAATAGCTAATAAATAGCTAATAAATAGCTAATATAAGTTTGAGTTTGAGGTCCACTTTTAGGTGGTTCAAATTCCATGGAGCAGGTACACACTGCCCACCTTCAGAGCAGACACCTCGCCAAAAGTGGACCGGATCAGCCTGCCAGGAGCCACCCAACCAGCGCCGGAAATCAGCCGGGGAATGCATTGATGGAAGATAGGGTCAAACTTGATGATAGTAAAATGAGGTTGTTTTATGATTTTTATGTGTAGAAATCCTAAAACTGATCAAGAAAGTGCAATTAAAGTTGCAAAACTCTTCAAATTCTGTGACTTCGCAAGTTTCCAAAATGATCCACATCCGAAACAGATCGAAACAGATCGAAAACTGGGGGCCTTTCAGATTCCTCGACCGACTTGGGCATCTCCGGACCCTGAATCGTTGGTGGAATCTTCCTCGCAGAAGTTGGGTGTTTCAAAGGATGTCCACCCAATCTATGCCAACTTTAATGGTCAACACCATGAAATTTCCATAGGAATAAACCATAGGAATGAGGAACTCAATATCTATACAACTTGATTAGCTCGCATCACATGAGATGCTTGGACATGACCTGACCATAGCTCGGATAATCATCGTCATGAGTCATCATCATCATCATCATCATCATCATCATCATCATCCAATCTTTACCTGTCCCATGTCTGTTCAGTTTCTGCGTTTCTTTCTGCCAATTCGTTCTATGACATCCTACACATCCTTACCAGAGTTTTGAGACTTAAGAACTTCAGTCGAAGGCAAGCTTCTCTCTCTTGGCAAATTCCAGCATCGCAGCATGTCCCAGGGATTGTCCACCATAGACTCCGGGTACCTGGTTCTGTTCCAACTGTCGATGCATCCAATGAGGCAACTTGATCTCTCGCTTCAGTTTCTCCTTCACCGGTCGGTGGACCCCCAAGGTTGGCAACGGCAGGATGCCGCACTTCACCGGACGCACCGTGTCCATGGCTTTCAGCACCGACACCTTGAAGTTTTCGATGTCATCCTGCGCAAGAAACATCTGTGTATAATTATGTATATAGAAACAGCGCAAAAAAAAGAGACTGAAGAATTGCAACATATTGCAAAAGTCGTGTAAGTAAAATGACAACCAAAGTCACTTTGCATTCACAATTTGACCATCTTTCAGATAATACAACTGTTCAATCCGGTCCTTGTACCCGGTCTTCGAAGTGCCGACAGATGTTGCGAAGGCCTCCCTGGTCGCCAAACGATGTGATTGAATGGGTCCCACGATAGCACCGGCTTGTCGCTGCATCAGCTCCAAGATACTGGTGACTTTCAAAACACGGAAGAAGTCCAGGCTGATTTTGCCTGCATTGGTCCCATCAGCAAACACCCGTGGCTCTGATGCTCCATGCTTCAGGCTGTGCGAGTTCACTTTGGAGAGTCATCCCTCAACCCCCAATTGTTTAATGACTCATAGATGGGAGGAATAGCATTCAAATAAAGCTTACTTGGGAAGCTAGTTGCAGCCTGCAGAATTTGAAGTTTTCACCTTGAGAGGTTACACTCGACTGGAACTCTTAAAGCTGCAACTGGGCTTACCATTTGCTGCGACTGGCTTCCAAGAATAGCTGCAGTTCAGCTGCGGTTGTAGACCTTGACCCCACGATCCACGTTGGACCAAAAGCGTAGCGAGGCCAAGGATTGCTGAAGCGATCGCTGCAGGTGCATGCAGGGATTGATGAGTTGGCTGAACCTCAGATCCACAGAACACATCTCGCAACGGAAAGTTTGGAAACCACAAAACCACAAGAATTAGAGGAAAAAGCCATGGTAAATATAAGTAAATCCAAAAAGAAACTGGGATGTAATGTAGATGTAATGTAGCCTGAACGGTCTTTTCAAGGGTCCAGTGAGAAGTTGAGACCCAGCGCAATGAAAGGTGAAGCCCGGGGACTTTAAAACCATGCCCAAATATCGAGTTTGGCATTGATTGAACAATTGAGTTATACTGGTTGGTTTATAATGTTTATAGGAATTCCCCTATTGGATGATTTTAATCCCCAATATATTGGGTAGTATAATCCCCGAACTAATCATCAACCAACAGGGGTTTTGAATATTGCTCAATTTGAACAAAATACACTGAACATCACTGAACATTTCAATTCATTGATTACGGCTAACTCACGGCGGGGGCAGGAAAAGTTCTGCTTCAACCAATCCGCCTGTAGCACAGCTCGATGTAATCTTGCATGCGGTACTTCGCCAGAGGCAGCTTGGCAAAATCGATGGAGTTGGTGTTGAAAGCTTGTACTGGGAAGGCATAATAATCATCATAGAATTCTTCCAGCTGGCTGCTGGTCAAATAATGCACAGTCCAGCTCTTCATTTCTTTGCTGACGATGTAAAACATCACCTGACATAGTTCCAGCTTGGACATGCTGCAGAACTGCATCGTCACATAGATAAAGCCATCCCAGGTCACTGTGTCCTTGTAACCTGCCGAATCCAAGAGCAAGATCAAGATCTTGGCCACCCACTTCCGATGATTTTTCACCAAGCGCGTCATGCTTGCCGTGCTGACCTCGTTGGGACCCACCCGTAAGGTGATGGGGTCTGACTGTTTCAGCTGCTTGAAGATCTGATGGAAATGGATCCTCAGCCACCGGTGAAACGTGGTGAAACTAAGAAAACCATGTGCCAAAGTGGGGGGACTGCAGATTGCTATCTTGAAAATACTGCCATTCCTAAGTACTTCTCTTGTATTTTAAAATCACCTAACCTTCAAAGTCAAAAGGTGGTATATCTGGTATGATCATCCATCCCATAATAGAATCCAAATGTCCTGCACATCTAAAATATTCGAAAAAAATGGGTTGATGACCATCCCGGATATTGAAAATGGGCCATGTCATTTTTTACCATCTGAGCATCACCAGCCGTGGTGTGATTTTCATATCCTGCAGCAACTCCACCACCTCCGCCGCAGGCTCTGGGGGTTTGCTGCTGGAGAACTTCCCCAGGCACCCGCGGACGGAGCTAAGGACCTTGCCAAAGGCGGAGGCGATCCTCAGCAAAAATCGCTTTTTGTAGATCTGGAGATGGGGGAAAAGATGGGGAAAAGGATTGAAAAGGTGAGAATTGGAATGGTTTTGGAATGGTTTGACCCACCCAAGAATGGGGAAGTAAAATGATTAGTTTAGTAGTACAATGAGATCAGGACTTTGTGCGAAGCTTTCTGTCTCAATCATGTCAAAACACAAGAATGGAATGGCTGAAACAAACAGACCCAGCAAAACAAACAGTTAATCACTGCCCAAATTGGACCGCTTTTCCAAGGAAGCCTGAATAACAGAGTATTTCCAAACTGTAGGCGTGGGGGGAAAAAAACTGGACCCCAAAGGCTGAAAAGTAGAGCGCATGACTTTCTGATTTCTCCCAAGTCCGGTGACTTTCAATTCTAAAAGGCCCAAGCATCAGACCCTCTTCCTCTACATCAAGGTTGCGCTTGCCCTTTCCCATTGCAGATCATCGACTCATGGCTCCCATGGCTCTTGCGCCGCCCGGTCAGTTTGAGGCCGGGCGTGGCTGTGCAAAGCGCTTGAGCGCAAACGGTGGCAGGTGGAACAGCTGGGACGCCCCCTGGGTGAACTTTGACTTTGGAGGAAGCCAAAGGCCAAAGAGTCCCAAATGGCCCCCATCCAGGACTTGGCTTCCTCACAATATTAGCCCAGCTTTGCAACCCGACAGCGAAAGGTTCCAGCAAGGTTCCAGGACTGTTCCGGCTTTTCGGGGCGTGCATTTTAGTGTCACCAGTCCCCTGCCCCAGAGATTGAAACCCAACCGATTCGCTGTTGGGAATAAAATGGAGAATGGCTATTTAATGCGTGGCATTGGCCTTGGGTCTTTCCAGTACATTTGGAAGAACGAATCTAAACCACTTGCGCTCCCACTCTGTAGAAAAGGAGTACGAATTGTTATACTACATTTTTTTAAGGACCCGGCACCTTGCATCCAGTTTTTCCAAGAAACGTCATATCCGAACTGGGTTTCCTTGTGTTTCCTCATGAAATCCTGAGGGAGTAGAACCTTAGATCACAGAAAGTCAGCGCAGAGCGAGTGGCCCAATCTACTTGTATTTCCTCTTATTCCTAAGATTCTCAGGGCTACGATTTTGTGAAAGCCGGAACTTCTTCAACAGCCCAAGTACCAAATCCAAAATCTTTGCAGCTTGCGACATCCAAGTGACCGGCATTGGAGCTCAGATCAAAGCTGGCATCCTGCTGCTCTGGGAAGAGATCAAATCAGCTCCAAATCTCCATATCCTTCCTTCATCTCCATATCCAAACGAGAAAAATGCTCCCCTCAGCGCCAACTTCTTGCAGGCTCAATCGTGACCATAGACAGCTTGCACCAGCCAGGCTTGTGCGGCATGTGCGGAATGTGGCTCCATTGCCATGGCCAACACAGCTGCTGATGTTTGTTGCTTTCCGATTTCGCAGCTTGACCCCAGGACAAGTCCTGTTGTTGCGAAAGGGATCAAAGGCACCATGTCTTGACCACATTACTCGAAAACAAAAGCACTGCCTGTCTCTCTAACTTCCCAAGAGCGTTACCCTTTGCTGTCCCACTGGCCCAGGCGGTTTAGGTCCCAACCGGAACTTTCATCCTCTCGTGAAGGATGGGGCACCTTAAGCCAAGGTTTTCAGCCCAGCTAGATCTGGTGACCCAAACGCCAGAAATCAAGGCTGACTGCTGCTTCGGGGACCGGACATGAAGTCGGGCTCTACCGCTTGCTTTACGGCTGCCTGAACCTTTCTCTGTTCAACCTTGCAAGGTGGGAAGAAAATGGTGGATTGGTTAGGGTTTAAGAAATTGGAGGTACTTCTCCTGCAACTTTGAAGCTCAGTCTGGAGTAACTATCGATGTCAAAGAAAATTGACTGGTGGGTTCAGTGTCACTAGTGTCGATTCTTCAGATTACTGCAAGTCTGAGTAGGCATTGCCCAATACCCACAGATACCCATACAGCCAGCATACAGCTGCTCACTCACTGCAAGTGTTTTCGGAGGTTCGTTTCACCATGGATCCCTCTGCCCTGACCTTTCGCAGCATCTTATCATGCTCTGCCTGGGATTCCGATGCCTCAACTCAACGCGACGTTCCGGGACTGTCCTCAAAAAAATAAAGCCAACTTGGATCATAGTTCATTTGAGATCATCAAACAATAGGTCTGGTGTTGACTCGGATTTGTGAACAATGTGTAACAATGAGATCTATAGCAAAAAATGGGAATCAATAGCAATTGAATAATTGAATAATTAAGCGGAAGCCAATAAGGACCCAAGGAGATGGGATACACAACATTACACAACCAACAAATTAGGGATCATTTCCCATGATTTCCATGGTTTTCTCCCTTTGGAAAAAAAAGACATACCGAAGGATCCAAGGATCCGGCCAGCGACACCATCTCTTCATGGAACTGTTGCAACCTGTCAGAGGCAGAGGATGCTGAAACGCGACGTGAAACTAACGCCGCTAGAGATCTAAACGCACCAGTGCTTTAGACTTGACTTTTGGGGAATTGCTAGTCGATTATTGGAAATTCCACTGGAAATGAAGATAATCATCTAGTGGTTGCACATGGGTCATGGGGATGTCTACTGCCATGTTCAGCTACCATGATTTTTATCCCCTGATAAAAACCATCCGCATCTGGGGCAATGCACGTGGCCAGCTTCAGGGCCAGTCGCTCCTCGTTGGTGAGATGTGGATCCCTGAGCGTTCCAATGTGAGCCCAGGGGTGTCTTCATTGCAACTTATGGGGGACAGAATTCTTTAAAGTCCACCTTGGGAGTCCCGGGAGTCCCGGCACCGGAGCCATGAGGTCAAGCGTGGAGCTGCGGGCACAGCCGCCGTCCTGGCGTTGAAATAGGGGATCCTGTGAAATACGGGATCTGAAATATCTTGACATATCACGAAATATGATGAAATACCATGGAAATTTGAAAGATCTTGAAATATGATGACATAATATATATGGATGGTTTATACATTACTAAAAGTATATACCTATGTGATCCTATAATATCCTATATGAGTATACGTTCCAAGTATTGTTGATTCCATGCCCTCTTTGTTGGTCTTGGTTCCACTGCTTCCATTGGTTCCACTCCAGCCTCTTCATGTGGCCCCAGTTCCATTGGGAGGCTCTGCTCAGCCTCATGGAGCCTGAAAATGGACCATAGAAATAGTGGATGTACCCATTGAAAATGGTGGATTTGTCCATGGTGATGTAAACGTTTACCAAAGGCTATCCCTGAATCTTATACAAGATTTCCCAAACAGCTCTGGTGACAGCCACAGCCTCCGCTCGGCATCCCGCAACTGTTCGTGCAAGTCATCCACGCGCTTTTGAGCATGGGCTACACGCAACTCCTGGGATGCCGACTTCCGATTCCGATACCCCGGTTGGTTGCAATTCCATCCCTTGTTGATGGTTGCATCGTTGGACCTATGGTTGGATTCCTGTCTGGCAGTGGTTGTCTCCCGACTGTTTTGAGTTTTGACTATCCGTCCATCTAGAATTGGTCATATGTGCTTTGAATCTGGGACTAGACCCACAGCTTTACATCCTTAGATGAGCATGAACATCCCTCTTCAAAAGCGCTTCATATCCATGGTTTTACAGTACAGAATGTATAGATTGTATAGATAACACCAGTTCGGGGACTTCATCACCCAAGTCCCAAAAACAACTGAGGATGCTCATCCAGCTGGCGTTTTCCCTGAGCTGCGCACACATTGTTGCTCCAAAACATACCCAGCAGTGGCCGCAGGGCTGGCGGGCCGACGCCTAGAGCTTGATGCCTGACAGGTGCAGTGACTGTAGTGGTTGTGTAACCCTGAAGCCTCCAATTTCGGAGTACCGTACCCACTGATTCACCGGTTTTCCCATGGGAAAACTCCACCGTGTTTTAATGACCGGAAAACCTCGGTGCGCACCTGCAAGCGCCTCTTCTGCTTCCGGAGCTCTGTCTGAGCCTCGATGTTCTGAGGTCACGATGATACACAGCCCTTAAATTTAACATACCCTCTGGTAAACTAACAGTTTGCTATTGAAAATGGCCATTTATAGTGAATTTTCCCATGAAAAATGGTGATTTTCCATAGTTATGTTAGTTTACCAGAGGGTATTTCACATGGAACCTGAAAATGAGGTCTGGAGTATGATTTGCCAAACTTGGATATGGCAATTCCCTACGAAATTCCATACGAGTGTACCATTTTTTGTTCCATCATTTGTCCACCTTTTTAGAACCCCATGTGCCGCAGCGTCCAGAAACGGACGCAGTGAACCACTACGGCTCCCAGCAGTGTCCAGTTCATCTTCTGCATGCAGATGCTCCTAACCGGCAGTGAAGTTTAGCTGGTTACATCAATGGATTGGTTTAAGGAAAAATTGCAGGAAACCATGGTTTTTACCATTAAATATAGGGTTTTAAACCAATCCGTTGATTACAGTAATCTATTTCACCATCCAAATTGCGAAACAATGACCCTAACCCGCAGTAGGGTAATGGGCATCCGTTCATCCACTTGAGGGTGTGGGATCCAATTAGTTGTCATGATAAGCAATATATCGTGCGTGTATGTGTATATAATATAACTGGTTTATATCCCAGGTAATATCCCACTGATTTAACTGGTTTCTTTCCATGGATTTCATGTTACATATCCAAACTGAGTACAAATGTGTCCCATATCTGGACCCAGAAAATATCCTCCATGATGACTTTTCATTCAGACCTCCAGCGGGATCTCCCAGCCATGTTTGAGAACAGCAGAGCGTATATCCCCAGTGTATCTCCATGAAAAAAAACATTACACCATTATTGTGGTTAAATCCCCATTATTTCCCAGAAAATCCATGGTACATCAATACATGCCATTCATATCCTATTCGTATTCCAATGATATTCCATATACATATACATATCATACATATGTATATTTATAATATCTATCTATCTATCTATCTATCTATCTATCTATCTATCTATCTATCTAATCCTATCTAATCCTATCTAATCCTATCTAATCCTATCTAATCCTATATAATCCTATCTATCTATCTATCTATCTATCTATCTATCTATCTATCTATCTATCTATCTATCTATCTATCTATCTATCTATCTATCTCTCTATCTATCTATCTATCTATCTATCTATCTTTCTGTTTGTCTATCTATCTATCTATCTATCGATCATCTATCTATCTATCTATCTATCTATCTATCTATCTATCTATCT